CAGTCTGCAAAAAGACAAACTTATTCCTTTTTCATCCGGATACTTTTGTTTCTTTTTCTTGCCTCTTAACACTGACCAGTGCTTCCTGTAGTGTTCAACATAAGTGCTAATGGACATCTTAGCTTTGTTGCTGATCCTGGGAGGAAAGAATTAAACCTTTGCCTATTGTGTGTGATCTGTGATTTTTCTAGATGCCTTTTATAAGGATGAAGAATTTCCTTCTATTCTTTTTTTCTTTTTCCATTAATGAAATGTGTTACTTAGTCATTTAACACTATGTTAAGACAGTTGTATTAAGGATTTCACAAAATAGTCACCATGTAATAAGTGAAAAATTCTGGATATGAACAATTTATACTGTGATCCTAACTGTGTGTTGAAAAGGATACACCCAGGGTCGGCGCTGTGGCTCACTTAGTTAATCCTCCGCCTGCAGCGCCGGCATCCCATATGGGCTCCGAGTTGTACTCCTGGTTGCTCCTCTTGCAGTCCAGCTCTCTGCTGTGGCCCCGGAGGGCAGTGGAGGATGGCCCAGGTGCTTGGGCCCCAGGACCCGCATGGGAGACCAGGAAGAAGCCCCTGGCTTCGGATTGGCACAGCGCCGGCCATGGCGGCCATTAGGGGAGTGAACCAACGGAAGGAAGACCTTTCTTTCTGTCTCTCGCTCTCACTGGCTATAACTCTACCTGTCAAATAAAAAGAAAAAAAAGAAAAGAAAAGAAAAGGATACAGCCACACATATCCAAATACATCTACAAACTTAAAGGATATGTACTGTTGCTAATGGTATTCTTTTAGTGGTAAGTTAGAGGTGAATTTTAGTCTTTTTTTTTTTTTAATTTTTGACAGTTCACTCCCCAAATGGCCTCAATGGCTAAAGCTGCGCTGATCAGGAGCCAGGAGCCAGGAGCCTCCTTTGGGTCTTCCCATGCAGGTGCAGGGACCCAAGGACTTGGGCCATCTTCTACTGCTTTCCCAGGCCATAGCAGAGAGCTGGATTGAAAGTGGAGCAGCCTGGTCTTGAACCGGCACCCATATGGGATGTCAGCACTGCAGGCGGTAGCTTTACCTGCTGTACCACAGTGCCGGCACCAGGGAAGATTTTAAACTACAAATTCAATGTTGCTACCAGAAATTGGCATATTTAGGCTGTGTATTTCTTCTGGAGGTTGATTCAGGGCTTATAATATGCATCTTTATCACAGTTTTTGTTGAAATTGGTAGTTTATGTCTTTGTATTTCTTTTAGTTTTAGTCCAATTTGTTGGCATAATTGTTTCATAATATTACTCCCATTTAAATGTTTGTTTTTATAACACTCTGTTGTGATGCTCTTCTCCTTTATTCCTGATGCTGATAATTTATGTCCTCTCCCTTTTTTCTGATCAGTTTAGCTAACGTTTGTTAATTGTCTTTCTTTTCTTTTCAATTAGTGCTTTTAGTTCTACTGCTTTTTTGTTTCTATTTTCATGAATGTCTGGTTTCATTTTTATTCTTTTTTTGTTGTCTTCCTTCTTTTTTGCATTTAATTTGCTTTTCTTTTTCTAGTTTCTCAATGTGGACGTTTAGATCATTGGTTTGAAATCTTTCTTTAAGCAGTATAAGTAAAGAGTGCTTCAGAAAGTAAATGCACAATATATTTTCATCCCATTTTTCCATGAAAATTTTAAAAAGATTTATTAATTTGAGAGGCAGAGTTACAGAGAGAAGGAGGGAAGGGGGGAGAGAGGGAGAGAGAGAGGGGGGTCTTCCATCCGCTGGTTCACTTCGTAGATGGCTGCAACAGCTGGAGCTGTGCCAGTCCGAAACCAGGAGCCAAGAGCTTCTTCTGGGTCTCCCACATGGGTGCAGGAGCCCAAACACTCCGGCTGTCTTCCACTGCTTTCCCAGGCCATTAGCAGAGAGCTGGATCAGAAGTGAAACAGCTGGGACTTGAACTGGTACCCATATGGGATGCCAGCGCTGCAGGTGGAGGCTTAGCCTACTACACCACAGCTCTGGCCCTTCCATGAGATTTTTGAAGCTTCCTCATAATAAAGTTAGTAAATGTTTTAGGTACACATGAGAAGAATGTATAGCTTGCTGTTGTAAGAAATGTTATGTAAATTGTAATATCAATTCACACACACACGCACACACACACACCCCTCTTATAGTCCCTTTGGGAATTTTGGAGGAGGGGTTCTGTTCTTTCAGTTACTGAGAAAGATTTGTTGAAGCTTTTAGCTCTGTTTGTTCTAATTTATTTTTTTTTTCATCACCAGTCCGAAGCCAGGAGCCAGGAGCTTCTTCCTGGTCTCCCACACAGGTGCAGGGACTCAAGCACTTGGACCATCTTGTACTGCTTTCCCAGGCCATAACAGAGAGCTGGATGGGAAGTGGAGCAGCCAGGACTTGAACCGGTGCCCATATGGAATGCTGGCACTGCAGGCGGCAGCTTTACCAGTTACGCCACAGCGCGGGCCCCTAGCTCTGTTCTGTTTCTCTCATCAGTTCTGTGAATGCTGCATTCACTGGATGAATGCATGTGCCAAATTATATGTCAAGCAATTGATGCAGGTTGGAAGTTTAGCTTAATCTGTTGGTCAGAACTTGGGCATCTGGTCTGCTTATAGAGCCTACCTTTTTGACCAGTTTGGTGGTTGGGTTCCAAAAGCAAGTCCCACAGAAGTCGCCAAGTAGAAGCAATACTGCTTTTTGTGAACTAGCCTTGACCAACATCACTTCTCCTTTTTATTTATTTATTTTTATATTTTATTTTAGGTGGAGGTAGTTAGAAATGCCTGGCCAGATTCAAGGCAAAGAAACATCTTCCAATCCCCAACACACATGCACATCCACACATGTCTTGGAGGAATATTGTTGTCACATTGGAAGCAGGGAGGCAGGGTTGGGATAGGAATCAGTCTTTGGAAAACAGAATCTGCATTCTCCTGTTGTCAGACTGTGCTAATGTTGTTGGGCATTTTTAATTCTTGGTGTGCTATAAATAACACAGTGCATTATTTTCGTTTTAGACTTGTCTTTTCTATTCATTCTTTTATTTACCATTTCTTTCTCTTTTTGTAGATCAGTTTTCCATCTGGCATTATTTTTCTTTGGCGTTAAGAACTTTCTTTAACATTTGTTGTAAGTAGGAGTGTGCTGATAATGTATTTATCTTAGCATTTATGTCTTAAAAAGTGTTTTGTCCTATTGAGAACTATCACTGTGTATAGAATTTTACATTGACAGTTTTTTTTCTTCAGCATTTGTTTGCTTCTGTGCTGCATGATTTCTAATGAGAAATCTGCTTTCATTTTTATCTTTGTTCTGTAAATAATGTGGCTTTTTACCTCTGGATGCTTGCAGCTTTTCTGTTTCCAGGTGGGTTTTTTGTTTGTTTGTTTATGTTTTTTGTTTTTGTTTTTTTTGCAGTTTGATGCACTTTGGTATAGTATTATGTTGCTTCTACTTGGAGCTTATTGAATTGCTTGGATATATAAATTTATACTTTTCATTAAACCTTTAACTTGTCCACCATTATTTCGTCTATATATTTTACCTTTCCTGTACCCTGGTTCACTGTGTTAAATCAATTGATAATTTCTACAAGTAGCTGAGGTGGTGGAATTCTTGTTTGGAATTTTCAGACTTTCACTGTGGATGGTTTCTCTTGCTGTGTCTTCAAGGTCAGTGATCTTTCCTTCCATAAAGTCTCATCTGCTGTTATTCCTATCTGATGTATTTTTCACTTAGACACCATACTGATTGGATTTCTGCAAGCCTTGTTTGGGTCCTTTTTGTTAAATCTCCTGTTTCTCTTTTTTCCTCATCATATTCATGTGAATCATATTTATACTGAAATCACGTGGAGGTCCTCATATGGGGGATGAAAGTGTTTTCTAAATGCCCGCTCCTGTGTATGGTTTTTTTCCCAAGTTCCATAACATGTATCTTTTTATTGCCTGTTTTAGAATCCCTAAATATTTTTTAGAGTAGTCAGTTAACATTTTTGTTCAACATGTTAGTGGTGTGTAGTTTGCTAGTTCAGTAAAATCCAACTCTCAGATATTCCTATTTTTAAATTCCTGCCTGTGTATTTGAAATCATTGCATTACAATTTTTTGTTTTTTGTACTTGTCACCTTAAATTTATTTTTACGCATACACACACACAGACAAAATATATGTTTTATTAATTTTTATCTACCTGAAAGGCAGAGAAAGGGAGAGCGATCAGTCAATTGATCTTCATTCTACTAGTTCACTCCTCAAATGCCCTCCACAGCCAAAGCTGAGCCAGATGGAAGCCATGAGCCTGAAACCCACCCATCCATGTTTCTCACGTGGGTGGTAGGGGCCCCATTTTCCATTGCCTCCCAGGATGCATTAACAGGCAGCTGGATTGGAAGCAGAGTGGTCAGGATGCCAACTGGCACACAAGTATGACGTGTGGGCATCCCAAGCAGCAGCTTAACCATTGTGCCACAATGCCTGCCTCAGATTACATACTTTTATAGTATGCTTAGATGTCTTATTTTCTGTTTCCATAGCTCTACTATGTTGATACAGTATGAAGAATTGCAATTATAAAGTAATATTGTATACTACCAAAAATACTAACTTAAAAGTAGATGCATTAAGTAGCCTGCAAATGGCTTTAAAATATCTTACCTAGCTATATAGTCATATAGAAGAACATTTCAAAAAGTTTGTGGGAAAAATGAAATTAAAAGATAATTTTTCTGCAAATACATTTGAATTGCATGCAGTTTTCCCACATAAAATGAATTTTCCACTCACTTTTTAAAGACATCCTCCCCAAATCCACTTAGCTCAGTTGTTCAGTAGTTCTCAGTGTAAAACCATCTTCTGGGAGGCATTTTTGAAATTTGTGACAGCATTTTTAGTTGCTGCCATAGTGTAAATTGGCACATACATTTAATGAAGGTAGGAGTTAGCTTTGCTAGATGTTTTGCAGTGTGCTTAACAGTGCTGTACAATGAATAACTCTCACACAGTGCTTGAAGTTCCTTTAATTGCATACCTAATTTTATATATAAATACAAAGCAGTGTTTACATGATAAATTTTTTTTTCTATGAATGCAATTGCTGTGTATGTTAGCGATTCCTTTTTGTGAGCTCTGCTGAGTTTCACATATGGGAAAATATTGGAAAATTTTATCTACAACAGTATTCCTCTGGTGTTTTCCAATCACCATTCAGCATACCTGGTTCAGTCTACACTTTAGTTGTCAAGTTCCTCGTGATTTTTCTTCATATTAGTACAGGCATCTTATTGTTTCATAGTTTTTTTTTTTTTTTTTTTTTTTTTTTTTTTTTGGACAGGTGTAGAGGACAGTGAGAGACAGAGACAGAGAGAAAGGTCTTCCTTTTGCCCTTGGTTCACCTTCCAATGGCCGCCGTGGCCGGCGCACAGTGCTGATCCGATGGCAGGAGCCAGGGGCTTCTCCTGGTCTCCCATGGGGTGCAGGGCCCAAGCACTTAGGCCATCCTCCACTGCGCTCCCTGGCCACAGCAGAGAGCTGGCCTGGAAGAGGGGCAACCGGGTCAGAATCCGGCACCCCGACCAGGACTAGAACCCGGTGTGCCGGCGCCACAAGGCAGAGGATTAGCCTAGTGAGCCGCGGCGTCAGCCCATAGTATTTCCTAGTGTATTCATGCTCATGTTTCTACATATTAAATAGCGGTTTTTTTTTTTAAGGTTTATTTATTTATTTGAAAGGCAGAGTTACATAGAAGCAGAGAGAGAAACAGATAAAGTCTTCCATCCACTGGTTCACTCCCCAAATGGCTGCAATGGCTGGAGCAGGATCAGTCCAAAAGCCAGGAGCCAGAAGCTTCCTCTGAGTCTCCCACACCAAGGCAGGGGTCTAAGCACTTGGGCCATCTTGTACTGCTTTCCCAGGCCATAACAGAGAGCTGGATCAGAAGTGGAGCAGCCGGGACTCAAACAGGAGCCCATATGGGATGTTGGTACTGCAGACAACAGCTTTACCCGCTACATCACAGTGCCGGCTCCTAAAAGGCAATCATTTTAATACATTCATTCACACATAGATACTTAGCTAGTAAAAGATAATGATGCAGAGTAAAAAATGAACGTGTCTGGGGTGACTAAGAGCAGCACAGTAGCAGCGACAGCAGAGCACCTGGGCCAGCTGTTAAACAGCAGCAGCGAGCTGCAGGACTTCAGTCTGGCTGGGATGATGCTGGATGTTGACTTAAAAGTCTACACTGTATGTTTTATTTATTTACTTTTCTGGTGAGAAGAAATATCAGTAGCAGTTGAAGGATCAAGAATGCCTCTCCCAGAGATAAGAGGCATTCTGCTGCACAGTTTTAAATACCTCCTAATGCTTTTGGCTTAGAAGTTTTTGGTATTGTAAATGGACATGATTTGTATTCTTTTTATGAACTCATGCCGCTCTGCCCTTCCGTAAGCTGGCACACATTTCCCCGTGTTGTCTGGAGGCACTTTTTCTGCAGTGTTAACAAAGCCAACTGCATTGTCACTACCAAGTTCCTCCATAATGCAGTGTCAGGTGAAGTTTTATTTCTGTCAGACTTCTGGGAAAGAAAAAGAAGGGGAAATAAAGGAAACACTAGAATTTCAGTTCTAAACCAGAGAGCAGAGTTGCCTTCTGGATAAAACAGAAGCTGTAAGGGCAAAGAAGGAATATTAATATCTTCAAATTCTTAGAATGAAAGAATGTTCTTCAGCTCCCAAGTCAGGCGCCTACATAGTGAATTAATGCAAACATACTTGCAGGCTGAGCTACAACAGGGGACTTGAGGTCAAAGGCAGAAAGATCAGCCTCAGACAGGGCACTTTGTTCTCATAGTCTACATCTCCATGCTATGTCTAATGTTCCTTATTCAAAGATTTTTTTAAGGCAGAGTTGCAGAGAGAGAATGAGAGTCTTCCACGCGCTGGTTCAGATCCAAAGGCAGGAGCCAGGAGCTTCTTCTAGGTCTCCCACGTGGGCGCAGGGGCCATCTTCTACTGCTTTCCCAGGCTACAGCAGAGAGCTGGATTGGAAGTGGAGTAGCCGAGACTGGAACCAGTGCCCATATGGGATGCCGGCACTGCAGGCATCAGCTTTATCCGCCAGGCCATAGAACCAGCCCCTATCTATAATATTCTTACTCATGGACAGCAAGTGTTACCAATAGTTGTAATTTATCACAACTATTTTAAACAAGTTTTTCTATTTCGTTTGAATAGATCTAAACTATCCCCCTATATTTGTCATGTGCCACAAATCCAAGAAAATGGTAAAAATTTGGCCTAGTACCCTCTCCCTCAGGAAGATTCTCTCTCTCTCTCTCTCTCTCTCTCTCTTTTAAGATTTATTTATTTATTTGAAAGAGTTAGAGAGGTAGAGAGAGAGAGGTCTTCCATCCTCTGGTTCATTCCCCAGATGGCCTCAATGGCCGGAGCTGAGCCAATCCGAAGCCAGGAGCCAGGAGCTTCTTCTAGGTCTCCCACCCGGGTGCAGGGGCCCAAAGACTTAGGCCATCTTCTGCTTTCCCAGGCCACAGCAGAGAGCTGGAAGGTAGTGGAGCAGCTGGGACTAGAACTGGCGCCCATATGGGATGCTATTGCTTCAGGCCAGGGCTTTAACCCGCTGTGCCACAGCGCAGGCCCCCTCGGGGGGATCTGAGCTGCACTCCTGCACCGCTGTACAGGAGACCTCCAGGAGGGTAAAGCTCCAGTCAGCATCTGAGCCAGAGAGCTGCACATCTAAAATTTTAATACAGGGGAACGCGTAAACACTCTACCGTCCCTATAAAAAGAATGCTTGAAGCAGAATCTGACAGCCAGCTGGCAAACTGTTATTCCAACCTGTAATTTAAAATGGACTTTCCCCACACATCCTGCTGGTACTGGCCTCCTGTCTTGTCCACAAGGCTAGCAAGACGCAGGATCAACAACCGTACTTAACTCCAGTACTTCCCTCAGCCCAAGAGACGCTGGAGGCCACCAGGCGACTATGTAGGCAAAGGCTGAAGGTAAACTTTCTTTTTATAAAGTTCTTGCAACTTTGATTTAGTTATGTAGATTCTAGCTGTTCTTAACCCACATGTTGTGTGAAATCCTCTTAAATCTGTTGAGGAAATAACGTTCTTAGAGGCCACATGCAGCCCTGCCACGTTTGATTTCTGTTCTCCCATTCTCTGCGGGAACCTTCCAGGGCTTAGGCTGCCGGCCTCCTGCCCCACAGCAAACAGAGCTCGACCAGGGCCCGCGGAGGGCTGGCGCTCTGCTCTGCTCCCGCCCGGCTGCAGGCTGCAGACGCCCCCGCAGCTCCGGCTCCCGAGCGAACGCCCAGACAGATCCCGGCGCCGGGGACCGCGGCTCTCCGAGCCTGGAGACCGTTGCTAGGTGGCGCTTCCCCCCCGCCGAGCTCCATTTAAAAACAAAACACAACCAAACACTTCGGGCGCCGAGGGTCTGGGGTTCCGACCGGAGCGCAGGATTCGTCTGCGTCCTTTCTGGAAGTCTCTGCTCCCGAGCCGCCCCGCGCTCTGCGGACGCCGGGCCCGGGCGGAGGGACCAAGAGGGCGGCGCGCCCCGGCCCCGGCCTCACCTTCTTGATGTGGGCCGCGATGTCCTTCTCGATGTTGTATTTCTCCAGCGCTTGAGTGGCGCACTCCACCGAGTCCTGTTGCATCTCTTCCGACATGTCCGCGTACTTGATCACCGCCTTGCGGTCGTACGTGGTTGCCTGCTGGGTGGGGGATGGGGGGACGGAGAGGTCCACACGAGGAGCAAGGGGTTGGGATGTGAGCTGTGCCCCCATCCCGGGGCCGCGCCATTCCGGGACGATGCCCCCAACCCGCTTCTCAGGACGCTGTGTTGGATAAGCCCGGCAGTGAGGGCCTCATCCCGGATTCTGAGACGGTGGGGCAGGGGCTGGCCTATTGGACCAGTCTTCTGAGGCAGGCTTGACGCTCAGTCCTGCCCCCAGCTTGCAGCCTAGCTGCTGAGCTACTTGCAAACTGGCGCATCTAAGCGGCCCCAGCTAGGCTACTGCTGCCTAGTGCCCAGGCCCCGCCCTGCTCCCGCCTTCTCCGTCCCCAATTCAAGTCCCTATTGGCCTAACGCTACCTAAGATTGTCTCATTGGTCCATGAACTCAGTGCTTCTCTCAAACCTTTCTGCAGTTTGTTGCAAACCACAATGCACTGCTCAGGGTAAAGGTTCCCCAGCAGCGGGCCACAAGCCCAGAAGCTGGAGCAGGGCTCGGTCTCCAGGACCACGCAGCTGGCTGGAGCGGTTCGTAGGGAATCTGGCCCAGCCACGGTGAAGAGTGCTGCCAGATTCACACAGGACGTCCCAGGTACCAGCTTACTGAAGGGCAGAGCGGCATGAGTTCATAAAAAGAATACAAATCATGTCCATTTACAATACCAAAAACTTCTAAGCCAAAAGCATTAGGAGGTATTTAAAACTGTGCAGCAGAATGCCTCTTATCTCTGGGAGAGGCATTCTTGATCCTTCAACTGCTACTGATATTTCTTCTCACCAGAAAAGTAAATAAATAAAAAATACAGCGCCCCACGTACTCTCTCCTCTTACTGAAAGAGGAACTCGGAAAGCAGGGCTGTCTTCGTGGGTGAAACACTCGTGCAGTCTTAGTAGAGGGATCTCCTGGTTTAATCCCCAGTGGTCTTATTCGTGAATTTCCCAACTTTTAAATAAGAGGCCCCACATGTTCACTTTGCACTGGCCTCCTCATGTAAGCAGCGTGGCTCTGAAATACTTGGGGAGTGGGGCATCCTCAGGATTGACCGTGAGTTTCTGGAAGGGAAGGAGTTTGCTTTTGAATTAATGGATTATCCCCCAGAGTGGCATCTCTACCTGGCAGTGCAGTGGTTCTTTAAGTGGGAGGGGCTGGGGAGGCCCTCGAGGTGGACTTGGGAGGGTTGATCCCAGGGTGTGTTTCCAGGGTGATGAGGGAGTCTTTCCTGCGTGAGAGTTTTTCTTGGTTGGGGATTTCTCTCTCTGGAGGAGGTTTCCTAACCGATAAAAGGTTGCCCCAGAGTTGTCTTCTCTGGCTTAGAGATAATGGCTGCTTAAGAATGGAAGGTCTTGGTGGGTTGCCAGTGAAATCAGATCTGGCTTTAGGTCCTAGCGTTGTCATTTAGGAGCTGTTTGGAGCCCAGTTTTGTTTTTAGTAACTGTAGGTGGAAACCACATCATAGACATGTTGGGAGTATTAAATGAACTGATGATGATACATGGGAAGTTCTTAGCACAGCATATGGCACATAGTAAGTGCACAAAGAATCTTTGCCATTGTTTGTCAGTTTGGGGAAGTGCCCTGACGTCACAAAAGGGTTTTGAACAACCAGCCCTTAGATGCCTGTGATGTATTTTGAACCTTCAGGAGTGAGTTATCAGATGCACCATGTAAACAGAAGCTTTCTGTTTAAATTTCTGCATTTCTCTCTTGACCATTGATTCCCATTACCCAGAGCAGAGGCACACACCATTTAAAAGAAGATGGGAGGGGGGCTTCAGAAAATTCATGAAAAGCAGAATTAAAAGATAAGTTTATTTTGGTGCAAAAATAACTTTGAAATTGTGTGTCCTTGTAATTAGAGTAGCAGCTGTTTACTGAGTGGTTCTTTGCTACCAAGCTAAAGCACTTGGCACTCACTTAGTTGTTCTCATAACAGCTGTGCTGGCAGCTCCTTTCCTCTTACCACCCTCTTGGCATAGTCAGCTCATGTCACCTTCCCTGAACTCCCATCTCTGCTTGCCCCCTGCCACCACCCTTTTGTTACTCTCTGCCACTCTTATTTTCTCTGCTGTACTTAGCTCATCTATCTGTCCCTTCAACACATACTTACTTGCCTTTTTTAAAATTTATTTATTTATTTTTGAGAGACAGCTTCCATCTGCTGATTCACTTCCCAAATGCTCACAACAGCCAGGGTTGGGCCAGGCCAAATCCCAGAGCTGGGCATCCAAGGTGGATGTCAGAAATGCCAACATCTGCTGCCTCCCAGGGTTTGTATTAGGAGGAAGCTGGAATCAAGAGCTGAAGCTCCGTCTCCAACCAGACACTCCAGAGTGGGATACAGACATCCTAGTCCGAGACTTAACTGGTAGACAAACAACTACCCCGGAAAATAAATGGATTGATTTGTCCCTGCCTGGTTTGTTCACCACTGCGTCTTTAGCATCTGATTCAGTGTCTGGCACATAGTAGGTACTTCATAAATATACATTGAATTAAGGTACCAAGTCTTATCCCCATTTTATAGATTAAGAAACTAGTTTTCCCAAGGACATGCTATTATTAAATAAGTTTCAAGTCTAAATGACCCTAAATATATTCATTAATCCAGGGGTGCGGAACTTTTTTCTGTCAAGGCTATTTGGACTTTTATAACATTGTTCATGGACCATACAGAATTATCAACTTAAAAATTAGCCTACCATAGGTTTATTGAATTCCAAAGTTCCTCCTGTGGTTGCCTTGGCAGGGCCAAATCAAATGATTTTGCAGGCCTTAAGTGGGCTGTAGGCCAGACATTCCCCACTCCTGGTCTATACCCTCTGTATTACCTAAGTACATTTACCTGAGTGGACAATTTGCCTTTTTTCTTATTTATAACTTTGAAAAAAGGAGTTTGAGATGAACTGATATTAAAGTTATCTAGCAAGTAATAGGATTTTGTTTTAAAATGACTACTTCTATCATTATTTATTCAATATTTTATTATATATATGTCTCTGTAATCTAATGTGATAATTTTCTTTAGGCCACCTTTATTTATTTATTTATTTATTTATGTTTTGGAGATTTATTTATTTGAGAGGCAAAGTTACAGAGGAAAAGACAGAGATCTTCCATCTGCTGGTTCACTCCCCCAAATGACTGTAATGGCCAGAGCTGGGCTAATTGGAAGCCAGGAGCCAAGAGCTTCCTCTGGGTCTCCCACGTGGGTGCAGGGGCCCAAACACTTGGGCTATCTTCTGCTGCTTTCTCAGGCCATCAGCATGGAGATGGATTGGAAGTGGAGCAACTGGGACTGGGACCAGTGCCGATATGGGATGCTGGCACTGCAGGCAGAGGCTTAACCTAGTATGCTGCAGTGCCGGGCCCGTAAGTCACCTTTATTTTTTTAAGTAAGTATTTTTAAAGCTAAACTTATATCATTACCATAAGTAGAAAACAAGCCACATTAACCAAAAACAGAAGGTAACTAATATATTGTATTAGAGTATAAAACATTTAGGCTTTTTGTCACTAAACTGATCTAGGTGTGTGACCTACACTGTAGCAGCAGGTCCTTCAATGGGATCCATTGATTTCACAAGTCCCTGGATTTGTGGGAAAAAAAGAAAAAAAAAGTAATAGAGAATTCCAAAAAGTTTATAGAAAAAGTGAATTCAAAGATGTTTATTTTGTTGCAAGGCAGTTTTTTTTTGGGGGGGGGGTGGGAATTTATATTTACTTATTTGAAAAGCAGAGTGATTGAGCAAGCGAGTGAGCTGTTTTCCATCCTCTGGTTCACTCCCAAATGGCCTGGCCCAGCCCTGGCCAAAGTCAGGAGCCCAAAACTTCATCCCAGTCTATTACATGGTTGGTAGGGATCCAAGATCAAGTGCAATCAGGGTGGTGCAGCTGTAGACAGCAGGGATATAAGTACTTGGCCTGTCCTCTCCTGCTTTCCCAGGCACATTAGCAGGGAGCTGGACCTGAAATGCAGAAGCCAAGACTCAAAACAGGCAGTCTGGTATTTAATGTCCCAAACTGTGACTTAACCTGTTTTGCCACACAGACAACTCTCACAAAACACTTTTGAAGTCCATGTATAGTTTTTCCCCATCATATGCATTTTATGTGAACTATTTGATGACCCCATCGTATGTAGCACCACAGGCATTTCTCCAGGGAGAGGGCCCATGGCTTTAATCAGAGTCGTGAAGAGGTTCAGAATCCAAGAAGGACTAACAGCAACAGGAATGCAGTGAATGTGAGGTTTCTTTTGTCCTACTCCTCACAGCCAAATTTGCTTAAAAACCCATGTGAGCCTGAACAACTTCATTTTTCATTCTGAATACATGAAATGATAATGGGAGGTGGGATACCTGGGAGCCACCTAAGCTGTGACCTTCACATCCAGGTATAGGTTTCTAGTATTTAAATGGAGAGCACAGCTTCATAACAGGGTGGTAGCAAGGATTATACAGTCACATTCACCATGTCATGTAAGGCTAGTGGCTCTCTTACTGGGCAGTGCGGATAGCGATGTTTCTTTCCATCATCACAGAAAGCTCCTTTGTTGGACAGTGCTGGTTTACTTTAGTCACAATTCACACTCCTCATCCTCCACACACTGTTTGTGTATGTTTGTTTTAAAGATTTATTTACTTACTTGAAAGGCAGAGTTACATCGAGGGAGGGAGGGAGAGAGCGAGCGAGAGAGAGAGATCTTCCATATGCTGATTCACTCCCCAAATGGCTGCAACAGCCACAGCTGGGCCAGTCTGAAGCCAGCAGCAGCTTCTGGATTTCTCACATGGGTACAGGGGCCCAAGCACCTGGGTCATCTTTCACTGCTTTCCCAGGCCAAAGCAGAGAGTTGGATAGGACGTGGAGTAGTCTGATCTCTAACTGGCACTCGCGGGATGCTGGCACTGGGCGGCTTTACCCACTACGCCACAGCACCAGCCCCCACACACTGTCTTAAGCCTGGAATTCTGTCGGCTCCTTTACAGCTTTCTGGGGACATCTACATGGTGGACAGGCACAGTATCTGACAGTGAGACCATCCTTGTTGGGTTTTGGGCTTCAGGCACATGCCCATTCCTTTGCAGGAGTGACATATTTCCACATTGCTTTCCTGACTAAAAGAGTACTGAGCATATTTCTGAAGCAAGTAATGTTTTACTTGAGACCAACAAATTTTTTTTAAATTAAGCTTTTAGGTCATAATGCTAAACAACAGGGACCTGTGATTTATTTGACAGAAATTGTTTTATATGTTCACTTATTGTGCTATCTGGAAGCTCTTATACTGGG